GTATCCTGGTTGACAGAACAATAATAATATTATCATTGAAGCATGTAGTGATGTAACAAGAGATGACAGGAGAGACCACAAATTAAGAGCCTAGAACATACCATGCGAAATTGGTAGTTGGTGACATAAATTCCCATTGCTTGCTTCCCCATGGCAGATTGATATGTATTACGAGGTGACTAATACATCAAAACGTAAAAGGGCAGAACAAGTAAAGAGTTAGTTAGCATGAAACTGAATTACATAATGAAAGTGCTTCTGACAGAAAAGTCATTACGAGAGAGATACCTGATTATGGTCAGGAAATGGTATGATTGAAGCACAGACCCCCAATATCAGAGATGGGTGAATCTCACAATGTGTGTAGTTTTCAGTATAAGCCTCCTCTGGGCGGAGTCTAGCTTGAACCAGATCCTACAACAAACTTAGGAGTGAGATTACAGCAGAAATTAGTGCAACCAGAACTCATTTAATCACATCTTCATTCCATTACTCACACTGATAGTCATGGAAATCATGGTCGTTTCCTCTTCCTCTGTGTCTATGTATTCTATAAAGCCCTTAGCAACCAGATGATGCCAACCATCTTCTTCCGCACTTTCCTGGATTATGAAAACAAATATTGATACAATGGACTTCTAACAAAAGGTACTTTGGTAACAGGTAAATTAGAATTTTACCCTTTGTTGCAGAGCATAAATATCTCTCTTCTTTATTAAGAGCCTCTGATTATCTACAATAAACAGCGGACGGCTACAACGGCCATAATCAGTGTATATTCGGAGCTCTTTAAGACGTATATCTCTAACTACGCCAACTTCAGTGTTGACATCAACCTGCAAGAGGAAAAAGTAATATGTCACTTCTACTAAAAATTGTAATTTATTCACTAATATATTGGGAAACGTGAAAGAAACTGCTTGCTTACCCTTCGTCTCAAACGTCTCAACGTTTTCACCAACATGTCAGGATCTCTATGAACTCCAACCCACATTCCATTGACAAAGATTTTTGTGGCTTGGGGTATAACAGATGGAGATATTTCCTGTATTCAAGTTAAGACCTTCAGAAAACCACAAGAACTGAAGAGGCAGAAATTGGGTAAGAAATTGAAAGTTGAAATGCTACAGACCTCAAAATTCTCAGTACCCCATTCTTCCAAAAATTCCAATATAGGATAAGCAGCGGACCCAACTGTTATGTAGACCATGAGAGCCAAGTTTTTCACTAGACCACAAGCCTGGCACAGTAAAGCCACAATGAGCAGTGGAACTATAAAATCCGAAACACCCTTATTCTATAAATGTTACAAATATACCTGTCCTTCAGGTGTTTCAGCAGGGCACATCATTCCCCACTGTGAGTTGTGCAGTTGTCTTGGCTTTGCCAATTTTCCTGGCATAACAGACTCAATTAAGATTCAGTTGTGATAAACAAAAGTACAAGCCAATCTAACTGGCAAGGATGTGGATAATAAAGAGCACCATGACTAAAATACGCCAACTGTACGAACAGATACACTGAGAAAAAATAGAAGTGCAGGAAAAGTATGAGGCTTTACCTTCACGTCCTATTGGAGAATTGAGACGCCTCAGATGTGACAAAGTCGAAGCATACGTCAACCGATTAAGAACCTGTTGTTAGTTAAGACTTTAGAGCCATATAAATCATGCAAAAAACCATAATAAACCAAAACAGTAAACCTGATAACATAAAAGAACTATTTGAGCTCAATAACAGAATAAACCTTGAAAAATCCTAACCTGAGAAACTCCAGCTCTTGTGCCAGCAGCGTTTGCCTGGCCCCAGTTCCCAGTAGCAAGAGAATATTTCAGGCCAGAGGTAATTGTTTTAGCCTTGATGGCAAATTGAAGATTGACTTCTTTGCCATTGTCAACGCACTGTCAAAACAAGATGAGCCAGACTTACAAAGACAGAATAACAACTTATATAACTAAAGTCTGGCTCGAGAAAGAGTAACTATGTAAGAGACCTTTTGAACATAAGATCTCACATCCCTTGTTAACTTTCGGAAAAGCTACATGTAAAGAAGATGTTAGGTCAGTAAGAGAGAAAAAAAACTGATAACCAAAAATCCCCAGTAATGTATAATTGTGTGCCGGTAAGAGACCATTCTAAACAGCCCTCCAAGTAATGGACCAGCAAGATCCAGCCTTTTGTTACCATAATGATCCCTATCATCTTCTGGCCTTCGGCCCAGTGCACAAAGCAGCAGCCGGTGTATGATATACCTAAGGATTATAGCATAATATGAGCAAAACGGAAACATGTTAAATCTAAAAAATACAAGTGAGCTAAGTACCTACCCAAAATAATAAGCTTTCTTCGTCTCGCAATATTCCCCAATTCCTACATGAGGAAGCATTTCTTTCTGAAGGATATCTTTCGCATACCTGCAATGATAATATTGCAATCGCAAACCTCCAGTGTGAACATCTCAATAGTTGACATCTTAGATCATAATGCCCAACTTAATTGGTTTAGATTATCACATACTTTATCCTTTTCTCTTTGGTTACACCAACAGTTGCACCACGTTTTCCAATATAGTCAAGTGCAACCTGAAGTAATATGAAAGTTATCAAGTGATTGCAAGATCAATTCCTCAAGCATAATAAAATGTAATTAACCAAGTGAAAGGATAGTGGATACCAGCTGATTTTGAATAACGAAAGCTTCTTCCAAGGAAGGCCTGAGCAACTCCATCATCTGGGTATCGGCAAAATCATAGCAGATGTGTTCCAATATGTCCTTATCGGCAACAAATCCCAGTGCACGAAATACTATGATAATAGGAATTTCTGTTCTGATGTATGGAAGAGTACATCGAATATACTGTCCAGATGAACCCTGCATCCATTTGCAACATAGAATGTAATTTATTTACCATTTTCTAGAATTTAAAGAATAAATTTTGAGGAAGGAAATAGTAGAGGTAAGACTATTAGCTTTCTCTTACCCCTTTTGCACTAGCACGAGCAAGCATACGCACAAACATTGTGCTTGGAGGCCTATTTTGGTTTTCAGCCATAGAACGGACTTCACCAACATAAGCATACTTATTTGGCTGTCTCTTCTTGAACACATAAACATGATTCGTACTCATCTTCTCCTGAGCAATAAGAACCTTTTCACTGCCATTAATAATGAAGTATCCACCCTGATCATAAGGACATTCTCCAAGCTCTGTCAGGTCTTTCTCCGAGTTCTGAAACAAGGTACAGTAACTAGACCGGAGCATGATGGGAACCTAGCAAAAAATCAAACAAGAAAACATTTCTACTATCAGAACTGTATAATAGATGGATGCACCTAAATAAATTTTAGGTAATGAACTGAGTGCGGGCACCTTTCCAATGAAAACTTTAGTAAAATCCTGGGTCTCTGTAACTTCTTCACCATCATGCCCTTTTTTTATAACTCTCTTAGTAACATCGACATACAAAGGAGCAGAATATGTGAGGTTTCTCAACCTCGCAGCCTTAGGGAACAGGGTGGCAGTCTCTCCATCAGACTCTGTCATCATAGGTTTACTCAGATAAATCTGTCCAAAGCTAATCTTGTAGATTGTCTGCAGGAAAACAGCTATATCAGACATACAGAAAAACAGATACCAAAACAGATATATCTCAGTTCCCACAAAGCCAAAAAAGATTTGAGCTTCAACCGATAATAAAAACCACTCAAAGGACACCTTGAAAAAGCGAAGAGCTCAAGCACTAAATGGAAAGATAATCTCGGGAAATTAATGAGATTAGCTACTTGACAAAGGCAGACCCTAATTGCAACAAAATTGTTCAAGCTAAAATAGATCGTCTCTAGGTAAATAGTCATACCAGAGGTACAGAAAACTAGATACCAGACACATTTTTCAAGTGCCAAAACTGATTTGAGCTCTAACCAATATTCAAAACCACTGAAAATACACCTAAAAAAAGCAAAGAGCTCAAGCATCGAATAAAAAGATAATCATGGGAAATCAATGAGATAAGCTACTCAGAGAAGGGCTAACATAGACTGTCTACAGGAAAACAGACCAGAGGGACAGTAAAAGAGATACAAAACTCATTTTTCTAGTGCCAAAACTGATTTGAGTTTCAACCAATATTCCAAATCACTGTAAATCCTCCTTAAAAAGAGAAGAGCTCAAGCATTAATACAAAGATAATCTCGGGACATTCATGAGATCAGCTAAAACTGATTTGAGCTTCAACCAATAGCCAGAATCATTTTTTGACTATTGAAAATCATATAGCTCAAGCCTTGATTGAATAACAAGACAGTTTCGGGACATCAATGAGATTCGCTACTCGAAAGGCAAACCCTAATTGCACACCCAAACGGTAGAAGCTCAAATCGAAACACTTAAAAACCGCCACAAACACGATAAACCCGCACATAATTTCGAATTCCCATAGAAACCCTAGAAAAACAACCTCCGCAAAATCGGACTGATGGCCAGGATTGTGCTGAGATTCAGGTCGGATCTCTATATCAGCAGACTCATCAACGATTTCTTGCATAGTATTCTGAATAAACTCATCAAACGAATCGAGCTGCTGACGAACGAGACCTTTCTCTTCGAAATAAGCAGATATAACAGCCCACGCGTCCTCCTGGGTAATTTCCTCATCATCATCGTCTTCTACATATTGAGGTTCAGGTTCGTATTCGTTGTACTCCATTTTTTCTCACTCACTTAAGATCGGAGCAGAGCAAAACACTACTCGAGCTCTCTAAAGAACAAAGAGAGAGACGCAAAGAATGAGACGGCTCGTGAGTTTGTGAGTTTATAAAAGGCCTGAGAGAGAGAAGTCGGCTTAAATTATGGAAATAACCGGTTTAATCTAATAACCGATTTGATTTAATAACCGGTTTCATTTAATTGGGATAGAAAACGAATCGGTTTGCTTGTTAGAGCGCTTGGATTGTTAAATGACGGAAATACCCTTACTATATAAAGAAAAGTCTCCGGCTACATTTTTGTGGCGTCAGCGATATTTTCGGAAGAAGAGAGACGGAGAGTGAAGGCGGAGAGAGAGAGAGAGAGGCGGAGATGATACCGCAGCAATGGACGCCGCCGTGTGGGAGCAAATGCACGCATAAGTACTCAGCTTTTACGCAGCTTCCATGTATGTTATCTCTCGGTTCTTAATTTATGTGAATTTGGATTCGTTTGGCTCAGTCAGTTTCATGTTCTTGGTTCGTTGTTTTTTGATGTTTTAGTTCTCAATGATGATAAGAATCTCTTGTTGGAGCTGATAGATTGGGTTTTGATTTGGATTGTTGATTGATTTCTTGATTCAGAAGTCCCCATTAGTCTTCTGACGGTTTCTTTTTTGTTTGGAATTGAAATTGGGATCTGTAAATTGAATTGTTGATTGATTTCTTGATTCATAAACCCTAATTAGTTGTTGGCGCATTCTTCTTTAATACGAATTTACTGAACATTTTGGTAAAGAAGCACTTTCTTTGGTTAGATTTGTTTAGAGACAACTCGTAGTTGTAGTTGCAAGTATCTAAGAACACTTTCTTGCTTCTTGATTGAATAATGTAACGTAAATAATATGGAACTCCTACTGATTATAAGGAGGATTATGCAGAGTTGTAGGAGAAAGAGGAAGATAGTAGAAAGTTGTAGTTTAAGAACATAGAGAAATTTAAAGGGAAGACTCAAGTAACGTTACCAAAGATGCTTCTGCATCGATATTGCTTCTGTGAACTATAGACATGGATCTTTGGTTTGGCTGGTGAAAGGGCGTGGTTTGGTTGTTTCCGATGAAAGATTTTCATTCTCTGGTCTCTCAATTTCAATCATGGTCTCAAAAGCTAGCTGAATTTATGTTTATCCATCATGTTGTTGTAATAACATTCTTTCCATAGCAATCCGGGTTTTTTCAACTTTAGCATCAGTTCAGGCACTAATGATAATTCCTGAATCTGTGCAGGGAGAGTGTTCTGCAAAAAGGGATGTGATGCCGATAGTGACTCATGGGAAGATTGTAAGCATTTCTTTGTAATTCTTTGTAATCAGTGACGAAACTGTTAATGAATCGAGGAGCAGTTAGATATGTCCTCACTGTGGAACATTAGAGAAACCAAACTTGTCTCCTACATTACATATGTTCATGAAGATATCTTCTGCTTTTCAGGTTTAAGTTTCCAAGTTAATGAATTGGTGTAATAGTAGTGTACTCTCTATAGGTGTAGGAGACTGCAGTGAAATATGCTACAAAGATCCTGTGCTAAAAGACAGACCATGGACTGCAGTTATAGATCGTTCTCCTGGAGATGCCAAATACTCTGAGGTATTCACACTCTTCTTAATCTAAACCTTTTTCTTCAATAAAGAGTAATAGACTGAACCGTATCTAATTGTTATACATATTACTCTGTTTTAAAATTCAGGAATGCTTTCACGCATGTGTAGCAGGCTGTGGTTACAAGGTTTGTTTCCTTGTGCTTCAACCTTAATTTGATGTGTTTGTCAAATACGCTTCTTCTTTGAAACGCTTAGTGGCTATTTGTGTCACAATGCAGTTTGATGTTGAAGCTGAGATAGTCAATAAGGTGAAACCAAAGAGACCTCCACCACCACCGCCAAAGCCACAACCACCACCACCACCACCACAGTCTCAAAAACCAAAGCAGCCTCCTACTGAGGATGTTCCTGCAACTTCCGCTTGACATTTCACATCCCCCATCAAAGGCTAACACTTTAAACTCCTCAATTTTTGGTATCTAGGGAGTATTAATGTTCAGAGTAGCCAACTGGTCCATAATCCATTTTCTTGATAGTTTTGTAATGGAGTTTGGAGAGTATATTAGTGGGACTCGTCCCGTGGATTGACCCTTTTTGGTCCCTAAGGCATATTAATGAACTTAGAACATCACCAAACAGCTCAAGTTCCTAAATCCTAATAGTAACTCCTACATCACCACTTAACCAGTTAAACTATAAACCCTTAACCAAACTTCTCTACATTAAAAAAAAAAATCGTATTCTTTAAAATTAATGTAGTTTTGTGGTTTTCTAAAAATACTTTTTCTGTTTCTTTATATGTAGAACTAGATTTTAACCCGCGGTACACCGCGAGGCTATATTTTCTTAAAAAAATCAAAATGTAATTTGTATGATAGATTATTTTGATTGTTAATTTTAGGATTTCACCCGTGGTATACTATCTTTTATAAATATCAACCCAAACCCGTCCCATCATATTACCCGTCCCGTGAAATTAAATATCATTTAGTTATTTTTCTTTTTAATAATACTTTTATTTAAAAGCTATATAATTCAAGTCAATTTAAAAATTTCTTTTAAATGGTTCCCATAAGATATATATACATATATATTAAAGGGAAATTGTTAAAAATACCCTTTTTGGTGTGCCCTTTTTCAAAAATGCCCCTTTTAGATGTCCATTTTCAAAAATGCCCCTTTTTAAATCTGAAATTTTTATAAAGTTTTATTAAGTTTATAAGGTACTTATGGATTGTAACTACTACTTGAAGACTCGATCCAAGTATTTATAAGGTTTTATAAGGTGTTTTTAAAGGTTTTACAAGTTATTTTAAAGGATTTTTAATGTTTTTCAAAGGTTTTACAAGATATTTTAAAGGTATTTAAAATGCATTTATAAGGTATTTATAAAGTATTTATAAGATTTTAGATACATACAAATGTAGTTTGTGTATGTTTTAATAATATTACATACATATTTGGGTAAATCTTATATTTTTAAGAGCATTTTTTATAAGGTTTTTAAAAAAGGGTATTTTTGAAAAGTGGCATTGAAAAAGTGGCATTTTTGCAAAAGCCCCTATATTAAATTTGTATAGAGTTGAAATAATATTAATATTACAAACTTTTTATATAATTTAAATATTATAAATATTTTTAAAAATATGCAATATATATTTTTTGTTATTGAATAAGAGGATATTATGTGTAAGAAATGTAGAAAATAAGAGTTTAATATTTTTATTTTGGAGTCGCAAGAAAAATCTTTTATTTCTATACATGTTATTCGTTTTTTAATAATAAAAGAAAACAAATCCTTTAAATTAGATATTAACTAAAATAAACGCACCATAATTACTTATTAAGTAACAACCAATAAATTTCACCAAAAAATAGGTAACAACCAATAAATTCTAAACGCAGTAATTAAAGAATGAGATATTAAAAAAAATATCAAATAAGATATAAGAATCTTAAAATAATTGAATATCTAAATAATTTAATTGTTAGTGTCGATTTTAATACCTTCATTAATGTGGATTTTTTTTTTTACAGAGAAATATTTCCTAAAGATTATCACATTAATGACTCAGAAAATTAAGGAAGATATGAATTTATGATTCTCGAAATCGTGCTGGTAATATCTTTAATTAATATTTTTCAAATTTAAATAATTAATGCCAATGGCATTCATCCGTAAATACATTCCAACTCCAGGATTTATTTGCTAAAAGTCATCCAAAAATATATATATAGATTTCCTTTCAATAAATCCAATAATATTAGAACGGCACATAATTTCCCAATAATATAGTGACAAGGAGTCTAGCCAATGAGAAGAAAAAGAGTCTAGCACAAAGCCACAAACATTCCTTTCCGCTGATTACTAGGAAATTTTCCAATTTCTGTAATGATAATTTATGGATTTTACTTGTCATAAAATTTGTGTACGTGTCGCAATAGTATTTGTCAGATGACTTGTTTCCTTTTTTCAGTTGTCGGAAATATTTTCTCGTCAAAACTTAGTATAAAACTATAAATACAATTCTGGTTTACTTGCTCTCGTAGTTCAACAAAAAATCTTTGTAACGGATATTTTTTCTCAAACTTCTTCAATTTTCCATTTCTTGTTAACGAAGGAAGCCAAAAAAGAATCATGGCTGATTCGTCCGTCATGAAGATGACAGTGAAGACCATGCCGGCGTCAGATTTAGCTTTCACAAACCTCGCATATTGTTCTCCGTCTGATCTCCATAGCTTCGCCGTTCCCGGAAGCACCGATCTCTTCCTAGCTAATGTCGGGGAAGTCTTCGTTTTATCATTCTCATATCCTTTTTCACTCACCTACGATTTTAATTTTTTAACACTTTCATTACCTTAGAATTCGATTCTCTAAAATAACACATCTTATATACTCATAATTGTGTTACACGTCATGAATCTCAATTTTTATTTTTTGTTAATCTTTAACTGGTATATACTGGACATGAGAGTATTTCTGATGGAAGTATTGCTCTAAATTCGATTCAACGACGACATGCTAGAGTTTCTGCTGGTGACAATGTATATGTAACAAGGTAAAATGTCACAAAAGCTTGTTTGTTATACCTCTGTGGTTGTTTTTTTTTTTTTTTTCATTGTCTCTGAAGACTGATTTGTTCTTGCAGATTTATTCCTCCTGAAAACTTTGACTTGACTGTTCTGACAGTTGACTTAGAATTTGTTAAAAGAGGGACTAAAAACGAACAGATTGATGCTACTCTCCTCTCAACCCAACTGAAGAAGAAATTCATTAATCAGGTAGATTAATTCTTGAATTATAATTAGTATGATAATTGTGGATCATAGTTGAAGATTCTTGTCTTTGCTATCATGCAGTAATTGGTTCTCAAAGAGTGAATGTTTTTGCGACTTGTAATATTGTGTGGTTATTTTCTGATTATATGAACAAATTTCTGCCAACTTATGCAGGTCTTGACAGTAGGCCAGAGAGTTACATTTGAGTATCATGGAACTAATTACATTCTTACGGTCAATCGAGCAGTTGTACTGGCAGACGAGAACCAAACTAATGGTATCGAAAGAGGGATGATCGGTAACGATACATATTTCGTGTTTGAAGCATCAAATGCAAGTGGTATAAAGGTCTGGTTTTGATCAATTCTCTTGGTAGTACACTGTCTTGTTTAATGATCACTTGATTAAACCTGATTTGTGTAACTGTTCTACAGATTATCAACCAACGAGAGGCTGCTACTAGCAAAATATTTAAGGAAAAGGAGTTTAACCTTCAATCCCTGGGTATTGGTGGCTTAAATGCAGAGTTTGTTGATATATTCCGAAGAGCATTTGCTTCTCGTATATTTCCTCCTCATCTCAATTACAGGTCTTGAGATTCGTTATCTTCAAGTAGATTTTGACAGTTATTGCTACGTCGTGTATTACTTTAAACGTTTATTCTTTTGATCTTGCAGACTTGGGGCAAAACACGTTAGAGGGATGCTTCTTTTTGGACCTCCTGGTACTGGCAAGACCTTGATCGCACGCCAAACTGGAAAAATGCTCAATGGAAACGAGCCAAAGGTTTATTTCTGATCTTCTTAACTCTTTATTCATGACGAAAATAAGTATGATTAGTAATCTAAGGCTCCCAAATGTTCTGTTCTGTTGGCTTTCTTCAAGAAGTATACATGTGTTAAAGCCTTCTTTTCTCTTTAATAGATAGTGAATGGTCCTGAAGTGCTAAGCAAGTTTGTCGGTGAGACCGAAAAGAATGTAAGAGACCTGTTTGCTGATGCTGAGAATGACCAGAGAACCCTTGGTGCGGAAAAAACTGTTTACCCTGACTTGTGCTTTTATGTTTTCTTTTTTCTTGCCAGTGTGCTAACTTGGCACTCTTATTGAACTTTTTCAGGTGATGACAGTGAGCTGCATGTCATTATCTTCGATGAAATCGATGCTATTTGTAAGGTACACCGTACACGACTGCTGTCAATTTTGACATCAAAACACTCATATTTTGTGCTTCCCTATTAATTCTTGAGAGTAAAATGTCACTTTGCATGCGTTGAAAAATCATTGTGTCGGGTTTGTGAACAATGTTCGTTAATTGGTATAGGCTATATGAGTTAAACTAAGTTGTAGAAATTTTATGAATTGCAAATTTTCAGTCAAGAGGATCAAGCAGGGATGGCACAGGTGTCCATGACAGTATTGTGAACCAGCTCCTGACCAAGGTTAGCCAAACGATCAAGCTATTTACAAAAAATTACTTCTTTAATCTTTTTAGATATGGCTAACGTAACACTTGTTATTTTCCAGATAGATGGTGTGGAGGCCTTGAACAATGTTTTACTTATCGGAATGACTAACCGGAAGGATATGCTTGATGAAGCTCTTCTAAGGTCTGTGCATCCTTGTGCTAATTAGTAATGTCATTTCATTTACAATCCATAGCTTAATTATGTGTTTGCTTATATGAACTTTAGATTAGATTTAGGGGACAAAGATAATAATGTTTTGAGTTGTGCATGCCTATAGGCCTGGAAGGTTAGAGGTTCATATAGAGATTGGCCTTCCTGATGATGCTGGACGTTTCGAAATTCTTCAGATTCATACGAAAATGATGAAGGAAAATTCTTTCCTTGCTCCTGATGTCAATCTTCAAGAGCTTGGTATGCCATCATCGATTATACTTGTTCTGGATCTTTATAAGATTGGATAGAAAAACACTTGCTAGCATAGAATCTGACTAATTTTGTCCAATATTTTTAATTGAAAAGCTGCTCAGACGCAGAACTACAGTGGTGCTGAGCTTGAAGGTGTTGTGAAAAGTGCAATATCATATGCTTAATTTGAACAAACATCTGAGCATGGAAGATCTTACAAAACCAGTGGATGAAGAGAATATTAAAGTTACAATGGAGGATTTTCTTCAAGCTTTACGTGAAGTTAAGCCTGCTTTTGGAGCCTCTTCAAAGGACCTTCAAAATTGCAGGTAAATTTGGTTGAATTAAGTGTTGTGCATATCTTTGGATATTGATCTGCTAATGCTGGTTTTTCCTATATTGTACATAGACCCAAGGGATTTCTGGACTGTGGTGATAAGCAAAATTTCATCTACGAACGAGTCATGTTTCTTGTGGACCAAGTTGCCAACGACAGAAGTCCTCCAGTCACTTGCCTTCTTGAGGGACCTAGTGGAAGGTACCTTACATACTTTTTTTTTTTTAAAACACACACATTTTTTGCAAACATAGAAGATTTTTCAGTTTCTTAAAAAATAACTTTGTAAAGTATAAACGCAAACGTCAACGGTTGGAGAAACTTCTATTTGCGTTTGGCGTTTGCGTACACTGAACACAATAAGCAAAGGCAAAGATAAACAAATAGTTGAGGCCTATATCATGTTTTGGCGTGTTGTTTCTAGCGTTTTCCTAATATCTAAGCTTCTTTGGCCAGTGGGAAAACTGCCTTAGCCGCGACTGTTGGCATGGACAGTAACTTCCCGTATGTCAAAATAGTAAGTGCCGCTCTTTCTTTCATTGTACTGGTCAGCTATTTTTGGACCCTTATAAGTTGTTGCCTCTTTTGTTTCACCACTTGGGCAGGTCTCTGCAGAGACTTTGGCTTGTCTTCAAGAGAGCACAAAATCTGCTCACATTGCCAAGGTCCTAGCTGCAAAAGCTTGATATTTTTTATTTTATTTTTTTTGCTCTTTTGTTTGTCTACTAATACTAGTTTTGGTGTGAATGAACAGGTCTTCGAGGATGCATACAAATCACCAATGAGCATTGTTATCCTTGACAATATTGAAAGGTCGTGCATACATTTCTACACTTTCTTTCCCTCCCATACTTGATTGGTTTCATAATTCTTCTTTTTTTGCGTACTTTACGTTTTTTTTTTTTTCGGGGACTCAAATTGAATATCTATAACATTTTGTAGGTTGTTGGAATACTCAGAAATTGGACCACGATTTTCAAACACCATTTCTCAAATATTGTTAATCTATCTCAATCGGCTTCCCCCAGAGGTTTGTCTCCTAGTTACAACTTTTTACAAAGTAACATGGCACTAACTTGGTAAAAATAATTTGTTGTCAGGGGTGCAAACTTCTTGTACTTGGTACAACAAGTGAATTAAGGTTCTTAAAAGCTGTTGGTTTGCATAAAGCTTTTTCTGTCACCTACTCTGTTCCATTACTGAGGACAGATGATGCCAAGAAGGTAAATATGTTTTTCTTTGCTTTACTTTTGGATCCGTTCAAAAAGTTTTTCATTCATGTTAGAAAGGGCCAGAGTTAGGTTTCCTAAATCAACTTTAAAATCCAAAAAGGACTACTGTGTATATTTAATTTTCTTTTAATCCAAAGTTTATATACAAATGGTCATGTTGGCGCATGAAAACCTAGTGTCTAAGTGTCTAACATATTCCATGGTTCAGGTGCTGAAGCAACTAAATGTGTTCTCAGAGGATGATATTGAAGAAGCTTCCAAAGCCCTTAATGATGTATGTGCTCGATCTCATTGTGAATTTGATTATTACTCTTTATTAAAAACTGACTAACAAAAAGGCTCGTAATATGATATCAGTGTATGTCTAAACATTTTCTCACATCTTTCGTAGATTCCAATCAAGCAACTATACTTTCTTATCGAAATGGCAGCCCCGAGAGATGGCAGGTCTAAAGAATCGATCTACACAAGGAAGGAGAAACTCAACATCACTCATTTCTTTGATTGCCTTCAGGAAGTTACGGGAAATTAGCATCTGATTTTACAGTTGCACAAAACAGTAATTAATTTAAGACTCTCATGTTGTTGTGTGTGATGAAATCGTATTGAGGACAGTGAGGAGATGACTCATATTGGAAGAGCCTTCATATTACAATATTGTCTAAATGCCGCATTACAGTAGTTTTCTACATTTACATTTTTCAGAAAAAAAAATGACGAAACAAAACAAATTCTCAATTTTCTATTTATTTGCTTAGTAAAATCTCAAATATGAAGCAAAGTTTCTCAAAAATTTTAGACGGATCTTTCCTAGTACCTACAACCTAAACTGCATGGAATCGGAAGCGGGTAAGTGGAAGCGGAAGCGTTTGGAAGCGGAGAAGCGAGTTTTTTTAAAAAATTAGGAAGCGGATACGTGTTGGAAGCATAAATATATATATATATATATATATATATATATATAGATTTATTGAATATTTAATTTACTTTACACTAACCATTGGATATGTATCATAATTCAGAAAATTTTAAACCAAACGAAATACATAACATGTAGAATAATAAATATAGTCATCAAAAGTAAGAAAATGCATTGTTAACAATAAAATATTTTGGATGTCTTAATTGGGCTTAAAACACACATATAAACGGGCCATTTAAACAAAATTGGGCTTAAAAGAATAAAAAAAATTAAAGCCCAAATATGGCTTGTGGTAGTCAGATTCCTTTCAATAAATTTGTCGGAGATGACTTGAGAAGAAGAGTCGCCGATTAGATCTAAAACTGAAACCACCGAAGACAACTTGAAAAAAGGATTCAAATGAATCATGAGCATTCGATATTTTTCTTCATGAGCTTAGGAGAATTTATATGATTTGGAAGAGACCAGAAATCACATTCACACACCAGTAAAAAACTAGGTGGGAGGGGGGGAGAAGAAGAAAGCTGCGCTTCCGTTGATAAAAAACCACGCTTCCAGGTCCGAATCGAACGCTTCCCAGAAGCTTCCAATCTTCAATTTTCTGGAACCGCGCTTCCATCACGATTCCGGTCGCTTCCGCACCCGCTTCCGGTTCCGAAGCGAGAATCGGAGGTTGGACGGCGCTTCCATGCTTCCTAGCCTACAACTAGACCGAAGCCACTTGATGTATTTGAGTTTAGTTTTGGCTAATTTGTAAGAACTTGCTTTAGATTTAGACCATAGGATAGGATTAGACGTATATATATTAATTGTGTTATATCACAAATTAGAGTATTTGCATCACTTAAAAAAATCGAGGATAGTTCTTGACAAAACGGAATTTTTTCCCCTTCAAAACCAAGTCATTTCTTCATGATTAAGAGTTGGTGACTTATTTTACAATTTTTCCCCAACGAAAGTTTTCTTTTCTTTTTATCATCACTTTTTCACCTATCAACATCGGTGAGACTCCGTGATGAAAAATTGAAACACACACAATGGTGGTCTATGGACCCCCACAAAACCATTAAAAACAAACTCGTGGCAAAACGGTGTCGTTCAAACTTAATCACATCACATAAAGCTACACTTTACTTAAACAAGAACCAAAAAAAAAAAAACAAGATTCTTCTCTCTCTCTCTCTCTCTGTGTCTCTCACATGGCTCATCTCTTAAACCGCGTTAGATCTTCCTCTTCGTCGATCTTCCCATTCACTATAACATTCCTCGTTCTCTTCACCGGAAACTCACTCGCCGGAGAATTACGTCCTTCCGATCATGGCTTACAGTATCAGTTCAGCTCACCACCGACTGAATCTCACTCACCTCCGGGAAAAATGAAGTCCTTCTTCGGAGATTCTCATTCTTCTCCACCTCCTTCTCACTCTCAGCTCCTTCCTAAAGCCACCGCGGCAGACGGCGGAGATGATGATTCTTGGTGGCGAGACGGGGCTGGTTACAGACGTGATCACGTGATGAGGCACGTGTTTCTTGCGGCGAGTATCATCTGCGGTGTCTCCGGCGTTGCGCTTCTGGTGGTTTTTACTTTGATTTATTTCTTTAGGTATCGGAAACATAACCATTCGAACTCACCCGGTAACGATTCAAAAGAAATTCGATTTTGATTTTGATTATTATTTTTCTTAGATTTGAAACTTTAAATGTTTATCTATATTTCTTTCTTTCAACTGATCTTTACTTTGTATAAATTAATTGTTTTTATTTCATTTTAATATATTGTAGCACTTTGCTTTATTTCGACGACTTTTATGCCTTGTTTGAAAAATCGCTAGGCGCTAGTCGGGCGCTCGGCATGGGCCTAGCGATTAATCGGAAAATCGGATTAAAATCGGGGATTAATCGGGGATTAATCGGGGATTAGTTTTAGGGTTATTTTAATATTTTTAAAATATATTAATCCAATATTGTAAAAATTTATGATTTTTATTACAAATTTATGATTTTTATTAAAATTTGAACACAAGTTATTGTAAAACATCACAAACTCTCCATTCAAATGATTGAATAACAAAAATAAAAAGTTTTTTTATACTTGCAATCTAAAAAATAATCGGGGTATATAGAATTAGGCGGAAAGTAATCGGATTAGGCGGAGAATAATCGGGTTACTGATTTTTTAGGGGATTAGTCATTAATCGAGGCGGATAGGATGGGCCTAGCGATTAAGCGGGGAGTAATCGGGGCTAGGCGGGGATTTTTAAAACAGGGCTTTTATGTTTTATAAAGAGCACTGTTACACCCACATATTATTTATTCTCTAATTAATGTTGGGAAAAAGACAAGGAAAAAAAAAGAAGAGAAGAATTATTATCTTTTGTGGTTATTACTTATTAGGACTTGTGAAGTTTCGAAGAATAATTAAGAATGACGAAGAAGGTTTATACTTTATAGTACATACTGTTCATTTAAATAACTTATCGAAATGGATTCTTCGTGCTAAAAAAATAACATTATAATTGATGGAAAGTTCTGCTGTCCAAAAAAAGTTCTGATGAAAAAGTTTTTTTTATTGCTAAACTTATGTGGTCATTGATAAGTCATGACAAACTTCTTCATTAAACAAATATTTTCCCAATTAGAGGTTTAAAGTTGAGTGATTAAGTCTCAAGATTTTTATATCGCATTCAGAACAAACAATCACATTAATCCACTGCTAGCTTATGAACCATTTATAGCATTGTCACATAGACAGAAAAATATAAACTTTATTTTCTCCTAATTGTATAATAATAAGTGAGCCTTGAAATTACGATAGAAAAATCAAATACTAGTATTTGATTAGATGGCAGCATTAAATTAATTAGATGCGCCATATTATTTCTCCTAACAATGGGACCCAAATATCCGATCAGATTATTTTTCTAGTCAAATTACTTATCTTATTGTCTATCCATTGTTCGTTGTTATAGAACCATGTGGTATCCCCCTTGATTTTGTAACTACTGTTTATATTACGATTACACACTAAAGGTTTATTTTCGTGAATATTTTATCATAAAGGCTTTTGAGTTTTGAGTCGCTATTGCTGTAATTTAATTCAAAACTGTTATAATAATTACTTTATTATATGGTGTATATAAATATAAATAATGGAGAAAGAATTATACCCGCAGAAGGATCGGGATACTGAAAATAAAGAGATGAGAGGAGGAGAGAGATTTCTTATAACTTCTTATTGTTGAAGTATGAATTGTGATTTACAACGAACGAATTCGTTCGTTTATATAGGCAGAAAAAAGTAAATTACTATGCATGCATAGTGACGGTGGGCTCCACACAAATTATATATTACTCGTAATATTCTTCGCGTGTAGCGTCTATTGTTGACGCTTGATATTGTTGATATTTCTTTTTTGACTTTTGTAATACTCCCCCTTGGAGGCCAGTGTCACTATGTCTCTTGCGTAATATCTTCTGTTGTCTCGTTAAAAACCTTTCTAGGAAAACCCGGTGGGAAAAACCATAGTAGGTAAAAAGAGTGCAACCGCGCAAGCCCCCCCTCGAATGATCAGGATCATAACTTACAAGTCTTGTTGACGACGCATTCCAATGTTATGAACATGTTTCCTGAATATAGAGGTGGGTAATGATTTCGTGAAGAGATCCGCAGAATTCTCGGATGATCGGACATATCTTACTTCAATGTCTTTATTCTTCACGAGCTCTTGGGTGTATGAAAAGAACTTCGGAGGGATATGTTTGGTTCTATCGCTTTTGATATATCCTTCCTTTGTCTGAGCAACACATGCAGCATTGTCTTCATACAAGATAGTTGGCTCCGTATTCAGACGAATTCCACTACTCGTTTGAATGTGTCGACTTATTGATCGTAGCCATACGCATTCTCTACTCGCTTCATGGAGTGCGATGATTTCAGCATGATTTGAAGAAGTAGCTACAAGTGTCTGCTTCTGAGAACGCCATGATATAGCAGTACCTCCAATCGTGAATACGTATCCTGTTTGGGATCGAGCTTTGTGTGGATCTGATAAATATCCTGCATCTGCAAAACCAATCATTTGACCATTTATATTTTTAGGATAAAATAACCCTAAATCAATAGTCCCTTGAAGATAACGAAAGACATGTTTAATTCCGTTCCAATGTCTTCGTGTAGGGGATGAACTAAATCTAGCCAAAAGATTGACTGAAAATGATATATCAGGTCGAGTGCAATTTGCAAGATACATAAGGGCTCCAATTGCACTTAGATACGGTACTTCAGGACCGAGTATCTCTTCATTCTCCTCATGCGGTCGAAATGGATCACTCTCAACGTTAAGTGATCTAACGACCATAGGAGTACTAAGAGGAGTTGCCTTATCCATGTTGAATCGTTTTAGCACTCTTTTAGTATACGTGGATTGGTGCACAAATATACCCTTTTGGGAATGTTCAATTTGTAGGCCAAGACAAAACTTTGTTTGTCCGAGATCTTTCATCTCGAATTCCCCTTTTAAATAGTTTGTTGCTTTCTGTATTTCATCTTGAGTCCCAATTATATTTAGATCATCAACATATACCGCGATTATCACAAATCCGGATTTTGTTTTCTTGATGAAAACACATGGGCATATAGGATCGTTCACGTATCCTTCTTTCGTTAAATGTTCACTGAGACGATTATACCACATTTGCCCAGATTGCTTTAACCCATATAATGATCTTTGCAACTTTATTGCACATAACTCTTTGGGTTTAGATTTCAATGCTTCTGGCATATTAAACCCGTCGGGAACTCTCATATAGATATCTGTATCTAATGATCCATACAAATATGCTGTAACAACATCCATGAGACGCATTTCTAAATTTTTATCAGCCGCTAGACTCATCAAGAATCTAAACGTTATTGCATCCATAACGGGGGAATATGTTTCCTCATAATCAATCCCGGGTCTTTGAGAAAATCCTTGAGCTACGAGACGAGCCTTGTATCTCGTAATCTCATTTTCCTCATTTCGTTTTCTAATGAAAACCCACTTGTATCCAAGCGGTCTCACATTCAGGTGTGAGTACGATAGGTCCGAATACATTTCGCTTATTGAGCGAATCAAGTTCGACTTGTATTGCATCTTTCCATTTTATCCAGTCATGTCTCTTTTGACATTCATATACCGACTTTGGTTCTGGATCCTCGTTTTCCTCATTAATTTCCTTTGACAAAAGGTATGAGAAAACGTCATCAACTTCATCCATTTTATTTCGATCCCAGATCTTTCCATTATGGATATAGTTGATAGAAATCTCATGATTTCCTTCAGGCTCATGATGCTCATCATTGTCATTAGACTCATGATTTGTTTCTTCCAAAATGCTTTCTGCTATTTTGGGAATATCATGCTTTTCAACTTCCTTTCGTTTTCTAGGATTTTTATCCTTAGCACCAACTGGTCTACCACGTTTCAAGCGTGTTTTAGACTCACGTGTATCATCTGCTTTTCCACTTTCTTGTGGAATTTTAATTCGAGCAGGGACATTTGCAGCTGGTATATATGATTTAGTTACCGTTTTGGTATCTGCAAAAGCATCGGGAAGTTGATTTGCTATACTTTGCAAATGCACAATTCGTCGAACTTCTATTTCTGACTGTTTTGTAGGAGGATCAAGGTGTAACAGGGATGGTACACACCATTTGATTTCTTTCCCTACTTGCTTATTTTCTCCCCTAGAACCGGGAATACTTTCTCATCAAAGTGACAATCGGCAAATCGTGCCGTAAAGACATCACTAGTCTGCGGTTCTAGGTATCTTATAATTGATGGAGAATCACAGCCAATATATATTCCCAACCTTCTTTGTGGTCCCATCTTTGTACGTTGTGGTGGTGCTATAGGCACATACACTGCACAACCAAAAATTCTTAGATGGGATATATTTGGTTCTCGACCAAATGCTAACTGTAGTGGGGAGTATTTATGGTATGCACTTGGTCTTATCCGAATGAGTGCTTCTGCATGCAAAATGGCATGTCCCCATACAGAGGTTGGAAGTTTTGATCTCATGATCAATGGTCTTGCAATCAATTGCAGACGTTTAATTAATGATTCCGCCAAGCCATTTTGTGTATGAACATGAGCTACAGGATGTTCAACTTCAATTCCTGTTACCATACAATAATCATTGAATGCTTGGGATGTGAATTCACCAGCGTTGTCTAGTCTAACTCTTTTAATAGGGTAATCAGAAAACTGAGCCCTCAGTTTGATTATTTGAGTTAGAAATCTCGCAAATGCAATATTTCGAGATGATAATAGACAAACATGTGACCATCTGCTGGATGCGTCAATTAATACCATGAAATAGTGGAATGGTCCACATGGTGGATGTATTGGTCCACAAATATCTCCTTGAATTCGTTCAAGGAATTTTGGTGATTCTTTATCAATTTTGGCTGGCGATGGCCTTATGATAAGTTTTCCAAGAGAACATGCGGCACATGTCTTTTTATTCCCATGATATATCTCCTGGATTTTCAATGGGTGTCCATGTGAGCTCTCTATGATTTTTCGCATCATCGAGGTGCCTGGATGACCGAGGCGATCATGCCATAATGTGAAATCTTCTGGATTTCTTTTAATCACTAGATGCGATTCGATTGCACTTATATGAGTATAATGCAATCCTGAAGGAAGTTTTGGAAATTTTTCCAATATAAGCCTTTTTCCCGATTTATCAGAAGTTATGTACATATACTTCTTTTCATTCTCAGTTGCAGACTGAGTATCATATCCTTGAAGGTATATGTCTTTGAAACTCAACAAATTCCTTTTAGATTTTGGAGAATACAAGGCATTTTTTATGGAAAACTTGGTTCCATTAGGCAACATAAAGTTGGCCATACCAGTTCCTTCAATCACGTCTACAGGACCTGATATTGTATTGACAATCATGTTTGTCAGTTTTAAGTTAGAGAAATATCTTTTGTCCTTTAGAATAGTGTGTGTTGTCCCACTATCTGGTATGCAAATTTCTTGAGCCATTTCCTTGGAAATTGTTTCATCCATTTCTGTGATTAAGATAAACATCAATAAAAAGAAAGTAAATTTTATTCATGAAAGGAAAACACACAATAATTATATATTAAATTGTTGTTAAAACAACATTATTTTTCAAAATAACAAAAGCATAATATTATATATATGGCATAACTAGAGACTATTTCAGCAGTCTCAATACAAGCTCTTTAGTTAACCGCATGAGCGGTCTAATCCAAATCATTTGCAAAGGAGGGAGAATCGAGATACGATGTATCCTCGAAGTTTTCTGCTAAATTGACTTCTTTCCCTTTTCCTTTCGTGGAATTCATGTACAACTTACAAAGATGTGGAGGAGTTCGACACGTACGGGCCCAATGTCCCTTAGATCCACATCTATAACACACATTCTCACTCTTCTGGGTGGAATTTTCTTGGTGTTCCTTCCCTTTTGAATCATTTTGAGGACGAACCCATTTGAACGACCTCCTTCCACGTGAGTTGTAATTTCTTCCACGCCCACGATTAAAACGACCACCACGACCCCGATATGATTGATTCCCTTTCTCGGGATAGTTTACATCCTTTTTCTCCGGATTTTTTACATCCGTTGCATTCACTTCAGGGAATGCTTTGGTTCCTGCAGGCCGAGCATTGTGGTTTTTGATGAGAAGTTCATTATTCTTCTCTGCTATCATAAGCGCCACAATCAGCTCGGAAAACATTTTGTACTTGCAGTTCCTGTATTGTTCTGCAAGAACATAGTGCTCCTTATGGAATGTAAGGTAGGTTTTATTGAGCATTTCGTCTTCGCTCACTTTCTTACCACAGTATTCCAACTGAGCCACGATTCTTAACATGGTAGAATTATACTGTGCTACCTTGTTAAAATCTAGGAACCTCAAATTTGCCCATTCGTCAAGGGCATGTGGGAGAGTTATTGCTTTCTGGTTGTCAAACCTATTTTTTAAAGCTTTCCACAACTCCACGGGGTCTTTTACATTTGCATAATCATGCATCAGATTTTCATCTAGATGCTTTCTTAGAAAAATTATCGCCTTTGCCTTTTCATTGGCAGGTGATTCATTTTTCTCTTTTATCGTCTCCAATAGATTCTGCGAATCTAAATGAAGTTCCACATCAGTGGTCCATGCTATGTAATTTGCTCCAGTGATTTGAAGCGCTTGGATCTTAAGCTTTTCAATGTTTGCCATTTGTTTTCTAAAATAAAAACATGGAATATTATTAGAAATCTTTATTTAATTTATTTTAAAACATATTTAAAATAAACCGTTTACATTAATAATGCAAGCGATTACAAAAAGAAAAAGCGTACAAACAAATAAACTAATGTTCAAACGAAATTCTTGCGGAGTAAAATCTACAACGCAAAGATTATAAATACACATAATAATGATTCCAAAAACAAATATTAAGAATAATCGAAACATTCTTCAAAACTTCAAAACTTCAAAATTCTTCTTCTTTTTTTCGGAGAGAGTTTTTAGAGAGATAAAAAAATTTTGTTTTGATGAAATGAATGAGAAAATAAGTGTATTTATAGATTGAAAAATACTATTCCTAGCCGTTGGAAAGATTTGAAATTTTTGAAAAAATTTTGAAATTTTTCTTTGAGACCGTTGGCGAAAAAGATTTAAACAAAAATTAATCTGAAAAATTAGAGATCAATCAGATAAAAATTATCGATTCAAATAAAAATATTTATACAGGTGAATAAACCATAATATAAACAAATAATTCACAGTGATATTATGGTGACGAATTATCCACATAGAAACAGTAAATATATATGTGGCGGCTCAGCCGACCGATAGCAGAAATAAATATTTAAAGCAGTGCATAAAATTAAGGCGGCTCAGCCGACCGGCAACAAAAATAAATATTTAAAGCAGTGCATAAAATTAAGGCGGCTCAGCCGACCGGTAGCAGAAATAAATATTTAAAGCAGTGACTAAAATTTCAGGTGGCTCAGCCAACCATTAACAGAAAATAATTAATTATGGTGCATGAAGTAATTTCAGGTGGCTCAGCCAACCATATAGTTTCTTTTATTTATTTATATAATTTTCTTTCTCCCTTTTTTTTTTTTTCTCATATTTTTTCTTTTAACGAGGCGACATACTGCCCGGTATAATACCGTATTTTTTTTTCAGCGATCATAGAGTGATCGTGCTGATAACGTGTTATAATAATTACTTTATTATATGGTGTATATAAATATAAATAATGGAGAAAGAATTATACCCGCAGAAGGATCGGGATACTGAAAATAAAGAGATGAGAGGAGGAGAGAGATTTCTTATAACTTCTTATTGTTGAAGTATGAATTGTGATTTACAACGAACGAATTCGTTCGTTTATATAGGCAGAAAAAAGTAAATTACTATGCATGCATAGTGACGGTGGGCTCCACACAAATTATATATTACTCGTAATATTCTTCGCGTGTAGCGTCTATTGTTGACGCTTGATATTGTTGATATTTCTTTTTTGACTTTTGTAATAAAAACAAGCTTATTCTAGTTCTTATAAAACCTTGAGATTGGAAATTGAATAGCTCATGAAGAGTTTTATTTTGAAAAAAGAAGTAAAAGAACAGAAAGCTTAAATTTCCACCCAGATCAAAAGATTTTCAGATTAATCTCATAAAAATAAACTACATACCTTGCAATAAATTTGGAGAAATTGAGTAAGACCTAATTAGGACCGGGTCAGATTAACCCATCAGAATTCAGAAGTTAACAACATTCCATTAAACAACAACAAAAGCTCCACAGCATTCCTATCTACAAATGGTTAGCTTTTGCAACAAAATAATAACGGGAAAAATGCAAATTAAATGCTGAACATTTTCATTACGTCGTTTTTAATCTCCAACTTTTCCTGAAACGAATTAAATGCTGAACTTTCTTTGACTTTCCATTTAAATGCCAAACTTTGTTTGACTTTGCCATTTAAGACCCGACGTTAAGTCGATTAACGGAGTAATTAAACGCTGATTAAATGCCGTTAACAGCTAGATTGAATTAAAACAATGTTGTTTCTAACATACATCAACGACGTCGTTTTCTCAATTTACAAAACCCAAATTCGATTTCATTTGCCCCAAATCAAAAAATCCCAAAATTCATAACCCTAGAAATTGATTACACTTCGACGGCACACCACGGACTCCGACAACGTTCGATGTTATAGAACTTGAACTCATTATAACAAGTTGAGAGAATCACAAGAATGAATCCAAAAGAGAATGAGTAAATCCCAGAAGAGAATGAAAGAAATCTGAAGCTTTCGATTTCTAGGGTTATGGAAGAGAATGAAAGAAATCTGAAGCTTTCGATTTATAGGGTTATGGGTTTGGAGATTTTTCGATTTAGGGCAAATGAGGTTGATTGGGATTTTGTAAATTCAAAAAACGACGTCGTTTATGTGTATTAAAACGGCATCGTTTTAATTTAAGAGGAACTGTTAACGGTATTTAATCAGCGTTTAATTGTTCCGTTAATCGACTTAACGGTATTAAAATGGCAAAATCAAACAAAGTTTGGCAATTATAAAGAAAGTCAAAGAAAGTTTAACATTTAAATCGTTTCAGACAAAGTTGGGGATTAAAAACGACGTAATAAAAAAGTTCAGCATTTAATTGGTATTTTTCCCAACTAATAACTCATATTCTTTTGGAACAAAAGCTGATGAATTCAAGTCAATCACATGCATGGACCTTTTCACTAGAATTGTTCTGTCGTTTTAGAACTGTCGGACATATCACCACTTAACCTTACAATACATAAAAAAGATAAATTCAGTAGCCTCTTGCATTTGTATTTATCTCTATCGCTTCTATACTCTTATAAAACTAATAAAATAAATTTCTAAAACACAGCTTTTCTTTAAATAAAATATTATATTACACTCATAGTATCATTATGGATATACAGCTAACAAAAATTAGAATTGTCGAGGATATACGCGTGGGTTGAACAAATCTGTGAAATTTTGCATTGTTTAATTCAATATGCGATTAGTATAGTTCCAATATGCATGCATTAGACAGTTGTCTACAATTGATTATTTTAATGCTGCAAATCCTAGGCTCTCTATAAAATTTAAAACTTATGGTTAATCTTAGGAGTACATTGATATAATACATACTACTGGTTGGAAAAACATATAATTTATTAAATATCTCATTTTTACCATTATACATCTCATTTGTAGGTTGAAACAATGATGACGTATTACTGTCTATATTATCTATATTAATTATGATTCTAGTTGATAACACTAAAATGAAACAAAAATCGTGGGTTCATAAGAGAAAAATGACCTATATAATAATTGAGAAAATGAGGAATGCAATGGAAACAATTGGATTTTTTTTTTTTTTTTTGAAAATCGTGGAATGGTGGAGTTATTGAACATAATAAATCATGTTCCAGTAAAATCATATGAATGATAAAATTTGAAACTCACAAATCATTAAGTAATTTCGCGTAATACAATGTTCTATTTCTATATATAGTACGACTAGGTAATGTACTAATGTTTATCTTTTTGGTGAAACATTCTTAAAATAAAGTAATAAATTAGTTATTTTTTGTTGAAAAAAATAATTAACTTACATTGTATACTACAAGTAGTGTCATGGTTCCCCACTCTCTTCTCTCTAGCCCGTTAAGTCATACTTCTTCTTCCTCCATTCTTCTTCCTCCATTCTTCTTCACCATCACCGTTCTCTATACTTGGCTATATCTTGATCTTTTATCTTGTGTATTTTATATGGTAAATTATATGTTTGCTTAGTGAGAATTTTATACGCAAATGCTTTGTTAATAGAGAATCATCTAGAGGCTTCTCCATCAAATGAAAGAAGAGCTCCTCAGATTAAAACCAACAAGCGAGAGTCTCTATAATAATCTTCAGGTACTTCTATCATAATGAAAACTCTCTTGTATCTCTTCACAATAAATAACCATCAATATATACAACAAATATTAATTATAGGATTGCTATATATGTCATTTTGAGAGTTATAATTTTGTTCCAGAGTTGAAAGTGATACCTAACTTTAGGTTAACTAAAGTTCATATGTTAATGAGATGGGTCAATATATAGATTGTTGAAGATTTAGCATTCATAAATTATACGTACTAATCTACTTCCACGGAATCAACCATCACATGCATATATACGATCCCTCTTATTCCTTCCATATATGTCTCCTACTTTTTATATATTTTTCAACTAATGATTTGTGTGTATATATGTATATTTGTTTTGCTCTTAATTTTGTAATAGATAAGGAATACTGTTTGTGTTGAGCCTCTTACAATTAATTTTGGAGGTGGCTTGTGATCTTCTAGATCAACATTCAACAATGGCAATGAAGATGAAGGGCATCTACAAAAGCTTCAAATCCATCTCTCTAATGTTTGGTATAATTTTTACCATATTTTTAGTTGCTTCTAAGCTGATTAAACTACATTATACGATCTATCAAAATTCCTCGTATCTTTATACAAATATTGTAAGTTCTAGACATGAAATAACATTATAGCAATTTAATCGTATGATTTAAAAGTGTAAATTTCGTAAGTTCAAGTATACGCCCACAAAACAAATTTTCGGTCCATTATTTACCACTATGGTCTATGTTATTGATCCATGGGAGCATTCAATTAATTACCTTAAAAAAAGTTTTATGTACAAGAACAGCTATTATATGATGAAATTTTTCAAAAAAAATTATTTTGGTCAACAGGTTCGAAAGAAAGAGATTTGGAAATTGGGCACCCAACAGAAGTAAAACATGTGGCCCATATTGGTTGGGAGGGCTCCTCTGGCAGTGCTCCTGCTTGGGTAAGTAAGCTCACTCTTTATCTAAATACTCCTAAAATATTTTTATCGTACTCCTTATTTTACTTTTCAAGCCTCAACTATACCTTTAGAAGTATGTTATGAATATGAACTCTAAAGTTTACTTAAGTAAGCCTCAACTAGTTTTCTGATGATGTTTATTTCAAAACTTATTTGTTTCCGGGGGTGTAGATGAGTGACTTTAAGGCAGGAGCAGAGTTTTTATCTCCAAGAGCATCATCTTTCAGTCATGCAAGACATTCAGATTCTTTCTTCACCACTTCAGATTCCACCGGTAATTTTTAGTTGTCTTAAATTAATTGTGTGTATAATTTTTTTTCTTTATATATAATCAAACGGGACTTGTTTATTATTGTTAAACCATAGATTTCGATCAAGGCTCAACTCAACTAAATATATCGGATAGGATAAGAGATGTGCCTCCGATTCCAGTAGGTCTATCCAAGATTCATACTAAAAGCAAGAATAGGAGAAAGAAACCATCTTCGACATCATCACCAAGATCCAGACCATCTCCAAAATCTTCGAGATCAATGGGTTTATCGAAATCATCGCATAAGTCAATGGTATCTCGGTTACACTCTAATGCATAACTAGAGTGAACTAAAAAGTACCATGAAACACAAAAAAATCTAAAGCTTTTGCATTGTGCATGAGGAATTTTTTTTGTAGTTCTCGTGATTTTCTTTCCAAGTGTTTGTTTTCGTAGTTCTCATATTTCGGCAAGTTCTATGTACATTGTAGAAAGACGTAAAAAAAATTGTTTAAATTTTGTGATAATATTTATTTATTTCTTTGTCGTCTGGATTTAATAAATACAGATAATATTTATTATTTAACTAATTTTTCTTTTGTAATCGAAATTTGGACTTGGTTTGGAAATATGAAAATTCTTTTAAGAGCATCAATAATATATGAAAAACTTTATAGCAGTATTATAATATATCTCAACACTTTTTCTTAAGAGAAAAAAAAACACCCTTAAATTTTATTTTCATTTTAATTTTTTTTAACAGCACTTATGAGGTCTAAACAAAACCAAATGATTAAATCATATTAATGTTTATATCTTACTATGATTAACCAATAATACAGCATTATCGAAGAAAGGGGCAAAAAAAAGAATAATGATAGTACGTATTCTTTTTTTTTTTTTTTTTGCATAAATGTTACTATCATAAATATGAAAAAGTTTGGCTAATACAAAAATACCGCCTATGGATTTTGAATCCTTGGCAAAAAGAATAAAAACAAGGAGACAAATTTTGAGGAAATCACAAAACAGAGATCATGATAACCAACACTGCATCAAGTTACGGAAAAGTTTCCGATGGCGCCTTGAAGAGATGATATTTCGAATGTCCTTATCAATAAGCAAGAAGATAGTGGCTGAAGGAATGACTTGTTGATTGTAGACGATGTTATTACGCTGCTTCCAAAGATGGTAAATGGTAGTTTGAGCTGAGACTTTCCTTAAAAGCCAAGCAATGAACGTGATGCTTTTTGCCCAAAGGCCCATATTGCCAACTCGTATTATCTAACCTAGTCTTATGCTTACCATACACATACATGTAAAAATTTAGAATACACAAAATCTTACAAATAAATATAGTACAAATCACAAATGTGGAATCCGTACAAATGTTTGACAAAAGAGAAAAGAAAAACATAGTACAAATATATATAGGGGCCCGAGAGGCGAGAGTTCATCACGAACAAATGAGGCTGAGGCTTATAGCTTTGACGGCCCGTTATTTAGTCTGCCTAACAGTACAGAGAAGAGTAGGACAAAATTGTATGTGATTTGTTGTTGACAACATAAACATGCATATGATTAGTTTTGTTATATACACCATTTTAATCACTATACGATTTCTGAACTTAGCAATCCGTAAGAAAAACAAAAAAAAATCCATTTATGGTGATTTGATGTCATATGATTTTTCTATTCGATTAGTTTTATAGAGCTTACCAATCCGTAGACGAGTTTCCTCATCTACAACGAACTCTTATGTAAATTGTAGAAAGAGGTTTAAAAAAATAAAATGAAATACTTAGTAGTTTACGCATACTACTAAAATATTGACCAACTTTCAACATTTTAGGTCTAAGATAATTGTGTTATTATAAATTTTAACATAAGAACATAAATATATTTCGGCTGTCAAAATATATATATGTATATTTCGATGATAATCAAACTAGAGACAAAAGTTGACTAATGAGTAATGAGTATACTGAACCAACGTAATCAAATCACAGCAAAGCAAATTGATCACCAATGTATAAAGTAAGTAAACATTCTTATTCAGGTTATACACTCAATAATCTCTTGGAAATAATCTTACATTAGCATTTATCTTCAATATATGATTACCGGTCTCCTCTTTAAAAGCAACCAAACGTAAAAAAGCTTTAAACAAAAAAATAGCTTCCACAACTAACCATTACAGTTAAAAGAAAGTAGTAATTTCGAAAAGAAAGTTTAGTTTCTTTTTTAAAATAGTATTAAACTTTTTACATTGATTCTGAAGTGTACCCAATCTTCTTAAAGCTTATCACAGAAAAAAACAAGAACAAAACGATGCATAGTTTCTAAAATGTGCTAATATTCAGAAACTGAGACATGATTCATTGTCTGAAACTTTGTTTCAAATTACTGAAAATAATCATTCACTAGACCAAAAAAAATAAAAAAAAATAACGAATTTCTGAATTTGGAAATTTGTTTTTCGTTTTAAAATTAAACAAAACAAAAACGAAATTTGAAGGCAATAAATGAGTTAGTTGGTAGGCAGAAGTCACTCTTTCCCACTAGCTATATTATTATTAGAGGAAACGTCCCCACAACTCCAAGGCGTTTCAGTTCCCTTAATTTACCGAATTACCCTCCTCATATCTATAAAATCACCTCTCTTATATCAATGCCCCATTTACACATTCTGGCGTTTCTTTATAGACTAAGTGAACTACATGTCGGTTTCTTGATTCGCACAAATGCGTGTCATTTGGATTATCGCTAACCCCTTCAAACAAAATTACAAGTGATGAATTATCTTGTATAAGGTCTAGATAGGAACCTAATGGAACAACTACGCATCGAGAAATATGTATATAAATTAAATCAACTATACTTATAAATATTTCGATACAGAATTTATAATTATTATAAAAAAATTGATTAGTTATTGTTTCCCCCTACGTGAGTTTAATTAACAATGATAAGCTACATTGAGTGTATCAGTTCTAAAACTTTATAAAATACTTGAATTAATTTTTATAATTAACAAAAAGCGGGGAATCACAGACAGTGGTACATAATAAACTTAATAAATGATTTAATATCATATGATCAGCATATTTAACGGAATAATTAAAGTACTTCGTCATCCATACTAAGATATATATTAAAGAGAACTTAGAAAACGATTAGTAGGATTGCAAATTATATCTGAAAATTCACGAGGAAGACGACAAATGCAAGAAAAAACAGCTATTAAACTTAATAGATATTGGATGAACGACTGCATAATATATATCACATTAAAAGTGGACATAAATTTGCATATGTGTAATGTACCTCTCCACAATTAATGGCGGACAATTTATTTTACAATTACAAGTCAAATAATTTTATATTTTTGATCGATAGTTCTTTCGAACGTAAAATCATATATACATATACTTAGGCTATTTTCAACTGTCAAAACTCGAGTCCGAGAACCAAATTTCACCATTTTTCCGAACAATGATGAGTGTCGACCAAATGGGGTACTACTGTCTAATCAGGAACTTGTGAGCAAATTTTCAACTTTTTCCAAATAAGACGAGTGTCAACCAACTTTTTCCAACCAAGAGATATTGGGTTGCTACACAAATACTTAATAGCCATTGCATATTTATGCATATGCATATGCAATGCAGGGTCGTGCGTCAGATAGAAACATAGGACCCTCAACTTATTAAATATTTTGGGAGCTATTTGACTAGAAAATAATAATAATTTTAATGTGTTTGGTTTGGAATAAATGTGTGTGTTTATGAAAAAATATCATGCTTTTGCGCAATGATTATTTCAATTATCTACCGTGTTTACATTTATTACTAGTGTTTCGTTTTTTCTTGTGCATATATATGTTTATGTATATAAATATACCACGTATCACGTACTATATATGAATATGAACATTTGTAAAAGTGAATCTTGTCATTTTCTTGTTGAAAACATAAATAGTATGTGCAAACAAAGCATAGGTTAATCCAATACCACACACATAACACGTCAGGTAAATCCAATAAACCGTATGTCATGTGTATGCATGTATGTTAGTATGTTACATGAATCTCTGAATCAGTCAGTGTACGTATATGTATGTGATGTGTAACTCTGAATGTATGAGCTGTTTCTTGGACCATGGTCCACAATGGATATTGCTCCCCAACTACATTAGTCAATCGACTGGCCAATTTTTAATTAAGATAATTAATCCAAACTACCATTAAATAACTTTGACCTTTTTTTATCATTCATTTTTTAGATATTATTGGAACTTACGTAGTTCCATCTCATCCCTTTCTTTTGTTCCTTGAAAGTGGGTCCAATCACAAAAGTTATCTCATAATCTTGGATATATTTGGTTCAAAAACTCATACTCATATAGGTTGGCAAAATATAAAATAAATCATTTTATACTATTAAGTACTGTATTTGTTGTCGACAAAAAAAAAGGTACTGTATTTGATTTTTTGGTCTCCTAAACGTAATTTCTAGGCAACATGATAAAATCAATTTGACCTCAGCCAAATATAAATTTTTTGGCTTAAAACTATTGGATTAGCTTCTAGTATTTAATATGTTATGTACTGATTATATACGAATTTAGTAATTTATATAGGACATAAGTGAGGGTTTAGTATTAGGGAGGGGTGGACCATTAATAGCGATGTGCAATTAAAAATTATGATTAATAATCTTGGAAATTTGTAGATTGCTTAGTTATTTTTATGACGATCGTGGTGTCAATGTCATGGATTTTGAAACTTTAAATTAATCTCTTCAATTAGCGCCTACCTTTGAATTGTATAGAATCTTCTTCTTCTTCCTTTTCAAATGTTAAATTGTATAGAATCTTACTTACTTTGAGATTAAATTTAAGTAGTTACTTTTATAATGACAAAATAAATAGGACCTAAGAATGTAGTCATGTAATGTTCGTGCTATTCTACTTAATCTCATCACCAATCAACCATCAAAAGAAGCTAATGCAGGTGTTCAAGTAATAAGCTAACACTATGCTAACGTATAGAGGATTATATATTCAAGGAATTGAATCTGATGATGCACATTATTGACTGATATAATGTATACTAATTGCCAGTATTTAAACCATACAAAGCATTTATATGTTCATATATATTGGACATACATGCAAGGAAAAAGTTTTTTTGTTTCACAATATAAATCGTTTTCGAGTTTCGATGCAAATTATATATTACTTTAATATTTTATGATTATTTTCGATGCAAAAAGTTTATTATACAGTTTCTTTTATGATTGTGAGAACTTTTTAAAAGTAGATCTTCTTAATCGGCGTGTTTTCATCTAAAATGATTTATATTATGAAACGGAGGGAGTATTAAAAATGTTATTAATCTGATCATATGATACATACTAAAATGAACTATAACCCTAAGCATAATAACCATGAAATGGTAAATATTTTATTTATTCATCTTATTCTTCGTTTATTTTTTCTTACCCTACGAGAATCCGTGAG